TGAACCGCTGTAGTGGTATGCAAAATTTCAAATAAATGGGACTGTGTGCCTTTTTCTGGGAGAGCCCATAGCTTTCATTAGTCTTAGTGGGTTTAATGACCTAAAGAGGAGCTCTAGTAATTTCTTTTACTCTCTTGACTATGGTGTGAATTAGATGACCAAGATGGATGCTCAGAGGGACTAGAGGGGTTCTTCTGTTTTTTTCCAACTCCTCAAATGTTCTTAGTCCAATTTACATTCAGCTTACCTGTAATGACTGTGTTCCTTCTCTACACTGTGCAAAGTGCTTTATATGGTCTGATTAGTGTCAAATTATCTTTGCCTGTAGCAAGAAAACCTATACTGCCCAAGTCCAATGATAGTACTTGAAACCCATAAAAATACATCTACAGTTTAGAAGAGACTGTACTTAATGTCCTGGTATAATTTTGATCCCGCATTTATTAAAGCAGCTGCCACACAGCCAAAGTGATGAATAGGAGGAAGACAGAATTGAATTTGAAATGAGGAAGAGAGCCAAGGTATATGTAAACTTTGTACAATCCCTTTGTTAGGTTTTCTGCAATTACTGCATGCACCAAAACTACCTTTTTAAATTCCCAAAGCACATATCTAGGAAGCAAAATATGGTGTTACAGAAGCCATGCTTCTTGCTAGGAATCTAGGGATTCTCTTACTTCAAAATTCACTTAAATAACTACTCAATAAATTATAGTTCTCCAACACAGACTAATGATTATCATCTTAATTGTTTTTGTCCTTCAGCTGAACTCTATTCAAATAGGAAAGACATAAGAACTTGGTCGTATTTGCAAATGCTTTATTAAAAGTAAGAAAAAAATTCTTACCAGGTCCTCATTGCTGGTTACCTGTTTATATTGTGAATAACTTCTCCACAGCACTGTAATTAAACAGAAACAGCAACGAACTTATTTTTGTTAGCTGAGCAGCTAAGGAAAGATTTTGCTTCTGTGGAGGCGAGATAAATTAAGGGACATAACAGAAAAGAAAGGTTTTATATTCATTATACTAACAAGGTTAAATGAAGGTTAAAAGTCTTCAGATTTGAGGCAGAGTTAGACTTAGGATAAATGTGCTTTCTGGGGCTTTGGGAAAAAGGCATATATATCCCCACCCATACAACCTCTCTGTTCCGGAAATTTATATTCCCTTCTCTCCATGGGAAGAGACAGATTTTAATGCAAACTGAAAGGCATTGTCATACCAAAGGGAAAATGAAAATTCGATTTTTACAGACAAGCACAAAGTAGATAAAAGTGCGTAAATGATAGATTCCAGGGGCCGTGTCACAATTTCGCCCAGATCTGGGCCCTCAGACATCTGGAATCTGCTGCTAGGTGACTGAAAATGCTCCTTCCTTACCAAGTCTACCCGAAGATCTTGGGCAAGTCCCTGCCTCTTTTTAAGAATCACCCCATCACTCTCCTCGTACGTTTAAAAAAAAAAAGTACTGGGCTATATTTCATGCCCTCTTCAGCTTTAAAATACTAGTCACGGGCCACTACAGATTCCCATTTACCTTGGAGAAAACTGCCTAGACACCGGAGCCCTTTAGCTAACAGTGACGACTCCACCGACCTAATTAGGGCTAAGCCAAACGGCTGCAATGCTATAAAGGAGCCTAGGATATGGAGACTTTACCTGCATGAGCCCCAGAATCTGTGAGGCAGACAGCAGCCGTTACGAAGTGCGTTAACGCTTTCCTTCCTAGCCCACTGCAAAGGGCTACCATAGCTGCCATGGTTCGTTGCTCCTCCTCTTCCTTTCCTTTTTCCAAACAGTCTGGACAAGCCACTTCCGGTATGCTTCCCCTGTTAGCCCAAGTACTCGGTTCAAAGGTTCCGAAGGCGAGCGCTGGGAATCCAAGGAAAGAGCAGGTGGGGATTTCTAGGCACCTGCGCAGTACCTTCCCGTTCTCCTCCTCTCCCTCTTGCCGCGCCGCAAGATTGGACGAAGAGAGGGCGGGCTCCTACGTCTGTGCTTCCGCTTCCGGTCCCAAAGCCCTGACAATTGGTTTGTGATCCTTCCCAAAGGTGGATGGAGAGGCGAGCGCCGTTTCCGCCTGTTGCTGCCCTCCCCACGTTGTTGCGCGCACTCCTTCAGCGGGGTTTGGCAGCTGGGTCACGCGGAGCGACATCCGGGCAGGGCCCCCAGCCCGTGCCATGGATGAAGGTTGTTCCCGCATCCGCCGGCGGGTGTCGGTCCGCAAAAGGAACCGTCGTAGCTTGGAGAGCGGTTTTGCCGACCTCACCGCGGCCGAGCTTAAGCCCGGCGATGAGGAGGAGGACGAGGACGAGGAGACGGTGGCTGGGAGCCGGCGGCGAAAAACCATGGACGTGCAGCCGGTCGAGGTACAGCCCCGTCACCTCTCAAATTCCCCTGAGTTCCACGTTCCATTTCCTACCTGTGGGGTGATGATAGAAAGTCAGGTCTCCCACTGCGCATGCTCACTGAAAGAGGCGCGGGAGACCAGCTGAAGAAGGCGTGGTTGGAACGCCAAAAAGTTTGGCAGTTCACTTCCCAGGTGCAAACAATTGACCAATTATCTACTAGCCTTCGTGGGCTTACCTCGTCTTTGTTATCGCTGTTAATCTTCACCTGTGAGGTGTTGCATTGTTAGCCCCATTTTTATATAGATATGAAACCCCGAGACAGAAGTTGTACATGCAGCAAGTGGCATGACCGAGACGCAAACCTAGACTTCCAAGTTTCTGCTGCTCCTTGTACTAAAAGTCTACCATTTTATTGCTAAAAGTCTACCATTTATTATGTGCTGGGTACTTTGTTAAACTATTTACGTTATCTAGATTTTACAACAGAAATCTGGCCCTGAGAAGTTAAGAAACTACGTTTCCTACTCCAAATCTTGGGTTCTTAATCACTCCCCTATATTGCTACCTCTAAATTCCATCTCTTCTGTTTATAGACCATACCAAGTCAGACAATCCCTTTCAATTCCAGATTTCTAAGAACAATCTCCTTGGAGTGTCCAGTGGTACAAGCATGATTTTATTACAGGCCAGTCTCTGCAGATTGGAGTATCGGAGGTGAAACGGCACTGCGGTTATCAGAAACTTCTCCCCTTCCAGTAGATGGTTATCGGTCTTGCTGCCATTTTAAAGGATTTAGCACTAGCTTAAGAATTAGGATCCCAGCATCACTAGGAGGACAGTTTATGCCAGTCACTTAACCTCTCTGGGCCTCCATTTCTTGATCTGTAAAATGGGATGATAGTATCTATTTTATAGGCTGATTTACATTTAGGTCTGTGATCCATAAGTGACCATATAATTATATGCTTGATAGAGCCCTCAGCTGGAACTTTTATTCTTATTGAAGCTAGAATTGACCATAAATCTTTTTGTTTTCTTTCCAGAATATTGACAGTGAAGAGGACATGTTTGGTGACTATGATAGCTTTGCTGAAAACTCTTTTTTAGCTCAAGTTGATGACCTGGAACAAAAATATTTGCAACTTCCTGAACATAGGAAACATGCTACAGACCATGCCACTGAAGATCTTTGTTCAGAAAGCATTAAACACAACACACTCAGCATTACTACTGTAGGCCACTGTACTGAATTAAAAATAGATGAGCACACGAAGAGCCAGAGCGGACATGAAGATGTCTTTATTGATCCTGAAGCTGATGTTTTGTATGATATACCTTCTTCACAGGTTTTATTCTTTGAAAATTTATATAACTCTTCAAATGATTTGGGTGATCCATCTACTGAAGAGAGAGATTGGAACTCATCCTCTCACAAGACTGTGAACGAGGAATTGCCCATTAATAACGTAGAGCAACCACAGCAAACTGATGAATCCTCTTCTAAAGTCAGAACAAGTTCAGATGCGAATAGGAGAAAAAGTCTTAAAGATCATCTAAAAAATACCATGACTGGAAATGCCAAGGCCCAAACACCAGTATTTTCTAGGACTAAACAGCTCAAAGAGACTCTTCTATCTGAAGAAATTAATGTTGCTAAGAAAACAATTGAGTCATCATTAGATGACCTTGGTCCTTTTTATTCATTACCCAGCAAAGTGAGAGACCTTTATGTTCAGTTCAAGGGAATTGAAAAATTATATGGTAATGTTTTTTGCTAGAATGAAAAAAATTTACCATCATCACCGTAATATTGATGCAAATCAAAAGAAAACCGATGCTTCCATGGTCATATTTCTCCCCTTAAAACAAATGGAAACATCAGTCCTCTCTGAGCCTTCCATCCCTATTCTGCTACTATTGAACTTCTTTCCTTCCCTTCGTGGTCACACTTCTCCAACGTGTTATCCTTGCTGCCTCCCTTTCCTCACTTCAGATAATTCCCAGTCCACTCCAACTCTGGGTTCTGTGCTGTCACTTAGATATAATGACTAGGGGGTCGCAACTCAGTGATACTTTTAGTTCTTACCTTCTTTGACAGTTGCTTACCTGACAAAATTGACCAAACTCTTCTTGAAACACCCATTTCTTGACTTCTTGACATTCCACTCTTGGATTTTTTTCTCTGGTTGTCTAGCTGCTCCTCAGTTTTCTTAGCTAATGCTTCCTTAGCTGGCTCTTACTTTACTACCAAAACTTAGTTGCTGAAATTCCATTGACTACTAATATGTCTTGAGTGAGAGAAGTCAGTATTTGTAAAACTGACTGAACTGTTTAGTTTGATTAAAACTAAACATTTTTAAGGGCAGCTAACATTAGAATTTAAGTGCAAAGAAATAGTATTAATAATAATTCATTTGTCTTGTAACGTTTTTCAAAAATCCTGGGTCCTTGCATATATTTCAAATATGTGTCATTTTAGACAGAATGGACACTTGCTTCCATCCCTGAAGAGCAGCCTATCATCCAATTACTTCAAAATTATTTCTGAAACTCCTAAGTTAGTATCTTATGAACCACATGAAAACATGAGTTCGCACCTCGGGAGAAGACAGTCAGGTTGGAGAAATAGGACTACAGGAAACAAAGTCTAATATAAGGCTCTACAAGAGTCTAACAAATTCTAAATTGCAAGGTTTGCAGTTTAAGAGCTACAGGTGTATATTGCCGTTGAAGTAGATGTTAACTTTCTTCCCTCTGCTTTTCTCCTAGCACCTTGTTTTTTGTCTAATCTGCATCTCCTGCCAGAATGAGTACCCTGAGGACAGGGCTCTATCTAACTCATCTTTTTCTTATGTGACTAGCACTGTGCCTGGTACACTCTGGTAGGTTCTCAACTGCTGGGGTTTGTCAGCCTAGTTATGAATTCTGGCCATGTCACCTAAACACAGGTTTTGCATTCTGAGCCTTAGTTCCTGCTCTGTTAAAAAGGGATAATAATAATAGTTGTTTTTCCAATTCTGTGTCAAGGACATGCCAAATTAGACGTTGGTAGTGACTGTCAGTAGTTATATTGATTGCTTCTAAGTAAGAGCTTCAGTAAATAACTTTTTGGCTGCGTTGGGTCTTAAGCTGCAGCACTCAGGATCTTTGTTGCAGCATGCAGGATCTTTCGTTGTGGCATGTGGGCTTCTCTCTAGTTGCAGCACGCGGGCCTAGTTTGCCCTGTGGCATGTGGAATCTTAGTTCCGGACCAGGGATCGAACCCGCTTCCCCTGCATTGGAAGGCGGATTCTTAACCACTGGACCACCAGGGAAGTCCCAGTAAATAACTTTTTAAAATCTCTTTTTATTTGTAAATCTGGCTTAAGGATGACCAAGTTAAAGCACAAATATGTGTGCTACATTTCATTGAGCTACAACAATGCTTCTCAAAGTGCAGTTCTTACTACAGCATCAGCATCACCTGGAAATTTGTTGAAATGCACATTCCCAGGCTCCACCCTAGCCCTCCTGAATCAGAACCTTGGGGTGGGACCTAGCAATCTGCTTTAGTAAGTCCTCCAAGTTATTCTGATGTGTGGAAAGTTTGAGAGCTACTGAGCTAGAGAACTTCAACCTTAAACTTATTTTTGCCTCTTAAGTGTAGTATTATGCTTAATTTGTTTTATAGAAATGTTGGGAACTAAGTTAATGTAACTTTTTTTTTTTTTAGTGTGTGAAGATAGATGTTATTCCTAAATATTCATTATTTTGGTCATTTTATACGTTAAAACTCGTGAGTTGGATAAAATGTGGATATGGTCAAGTTGTATTTTCACACAAACATCTGCAGTTTGATAACTAGTGGGTGATACTAGTCTGAAGTATTTTTTAATATTTAAGTATTAAACATTCAATTTAAATATTTTTGAAAATTTTTTATTTAAGCATAGTTGATTTACAATATTAGTTTCAGGTATACAACATAGTGATTCAGTATTTTTGTAGATTATACTCCATTTAAAGTTATTACAGGGGACTCCCCTGGCAGTCCAGTAGTTAAGACTCCATGCTTCCACTGTAGGGGGCACAGGTTCGATCCCTGGTCAGGGAACTAAGATCCCACATGCAGCACAGCACAACCAAAAGATAAAAAAATAAGTAAATAAAATAAAGTTATTACAATATAATGGCTGTATTTTCCTGTGCTGTAAAATATTGAGATACTTTTAAAGTAAAAATACATAGTCATTTGCAAATATTTCAGGCTGCAAAGAATTACATCATATGATTGTGCAATAATTCAGTCTTTACCCCTTGATGGCTCTTTGTTAATATACAAACAATGCTATGGTGAACATCTTGCACATAACCTATATATATACATACCCTTGCTTTTATTTCTGTAGGTGTAGAGTTCTACAGGCAATACTGCTAG